AATTGGCCTGTTTCCTTCCAATTGCCTTCTTTATTGCCCTGAATCGAAATACAAGAGTAATGAGTGCATTTAAGTGCTAAAGTAGTGTAAAAGGATGAAATTAAGGGGACAAAATAAGGTTCTTCTAAGTCTCATCAGTGGCCACTTCACGTACGGGGTGTCCTTGATCGCCATCAGGATTTCGGCTCGCTTTGCGTTTAGTGGGGTATAATCAGCTCGGTCTGGTGCGGGAGCTCGGAACAGTTGACCCGGCTTTGCCCCCTGAACTGTTTCTTTTTTCCTTCGGGTGTCCCCTTGGCTGAAAGGCTCTCCTTCTCTCTTTCTTTTTTCGGGTGTGGCCTTGCCCTTCTGGTTGATCTCCTCTTCAGTGGCTATGAACTTATCTACAAGCTTTAGAAACTCGGTTATGGTCGCGGGTTGGTTGACGACCATGTGCCACTTGAACTCTTTGTGCACCACGCCCTTCTTGGCTGCAGCAAGGCGTACGACGGGGTCCAGGCGCGGTATCTGCATACAAGCGTCGTTGAACCGCTTGATATAGCTCCGGATGGACTCTCCCTCTCTTTGTGCCACGTTGAAGATGCTTTCTTCGGTTCGCGGGCACCATTTGCTGGTGACAAAGTGGGACGTGAAGGCTTGCGCAAACTGCGCCCAACTTCTTATTGACCCGGGTGGCAAGTTCTGGTACCACGTGCGGGCCGCTCCCCTGAAAGTAGTGGAGAAGGCCACGCACATGCACGACTCACTGGCTCGCGCTAGGTGCATCTGTGACTGAAAGGCATCTACATGATCATTTGGGTCGAACGACCCGTCATACTTATCAAGAGGGGGGAGCTTGAAATCCTTGGGCATCGGGACTGCTAGGAGTTCGGAAGACAGGGGGGACAGAACTGAGAGGAGGGTAGCTTTGGCTTCGGCCGAGCCTACCTCTTCTTTGCCCATGAGCTCGGGCAAATCGCGGGTGACAGATCAGCGAGCTCGGCGGCGGCATCTTTGCTTCTTGATGGGCTCGGCGTTCGTGCTGCTCACCTCCATGCTGTCCAGAATGGTTTGCGCAGTGAGTGGACCGGTCTGCTGGTGGTGGCTATGGACAGAGGGGTCCTGCTTGGAGTCTATTGCCAGGATCTCGAACCGGTTTTCAAGGATCGGGGTTCCGAACTTCAACTGTCGCGGTGACATAGATCTGCCGAGCCGGGGTCCTCCCGACCTGTCCGCCCGCGGCGAGATCGGGATAGCCGGTCTCTCCCGTCTGCCGTGGGGGGAGGCCTGATTTTTTGGGAGATTTTGGGGGCCTCTCCTCGGCCGGAGTGCTCGCTCTAGCGGCGAGATTTGGCTTGCTGCAAGGCTAAGCGCTGAGGCAAAAGCTGAGGCTGCTGAAGCTAAGGTTGGGGCAGCTGGGGGAACTGCTGCTGAAACTGATACTGGGAGACCTTGTGCAGTACATGCTGTTGATAGAGTTGAAGTTGTTGGAACTGTTGCATTTGAGCCTACATGGCCCTCATGCACTGCACCAGGTCCTCCAGCTGGTTCGGACTGGCCGCTGGGGGCACGACCGAAGGTTCGGTGAACGTCGTTTCGACTGTAGCAGGGAGTGGGGCGATGACAGGTGCCATTGTGAGAGGCACGTTCAAGCTGGGGATTCTGTCCGCTGAGAGTTATCCATTTCCGTGCTTCGTCCGACGTTGCTAGAAGAAGTCATGAGCGTTGGGTTGTTTCAARGAAGAAGAAGGAACTGATAGAGTTTGGAGGAAAAGGCTTTTTGAAGCGTTTCCCACAGACGGCACCAAATGATGTAGCACAATCCAGCCACTCCTAGCTGGCGCTCGCGTGGCTCCTGAGATGTACCTGAAACGAGAAGAAGGACTCCCGGGGGGTTTCCCGGCGGAAACACTCCAATGCTTAAGTTAGTACTGTGTGCAAGAAGCTAGAAGAGAGTGAACACTAAGAGTGTAGGTTGTGCTAGCTATTCCAGATACCTTGTTCCTTGAGGATAAGCTCCTTATAGCTGAATTCCGTTGCTCCAGGCCCTCTGACTTCTGACAGGGCAAGTATAACTGCCACTATCAGTATGCCACAGCTGTTACAAGTAGGGCTGAGGTGGCATGCGCGAGGCCGTCGTGCAGGGTACGTGTCTGTCAAGTGTGGGACGCCTTTCTAAAGGTGGCAGGCGCGGCGAGGGGACATGCCTACAATTCGTAGGTTTGTCGGGTACGGCGGTCGGACAGGAAGCCCTCCTATGGTATACCGAGCTGTTCTCCTGCGAATTTCCCTGAGCTGGGCTGTCCTTTGAGTGTCGAGCTGCCTGCAGCCGGTTGTGCCGAGCTAGCCGACCCAAGGTCTTTGTGCCTCGGGGCGTCCGAAGAAGAATCGGTGCGTTCTTGCTTGGGAGTGGCCCAAGGTCCATTGGGAGGAGCTCGGGTTTCAAAAGGGGTCAGGGTGCCCCAAACTCGGGACCCCCCGAAGTGCCTTAACCCCTGGGAGGAGGTGCGGGCGAGGCGGCTTTCGACGAGTAGTTTACTTGCCGAGTTGTCGTGCTGAACTCGGTGGGACCTCTACACCGAGTTGTGCTTACGTCCGTTGTTCTGGCATACTGAGTCACTATTTGAGCTAGGTCACACCTACGTGTACCTGAGCTACGAGGTCGGTCCAAATCTCCCTCCATCAACAATTATTGTTGGACTTTGGAGAGTGGAGTGAATGATAGCTAACAACTTTATAGTAAAGAGATCAATAAGAGATTACAGCAAATTTGGATTTTAGCAGCAGTTTTAAAAGTGACTAAAAGTTGGCTGCCGCTATAAACCAAATCTATTGCCACTAAGAAGTAAAATGATAAGTAAGTGCGAATCGGTAATCTCCCCTCTGTTCTCTTAGTAGTCGACCTCTTACCACTGTGACAACTGGTCGGCACCCAATGACGATGCTGGCGTTAAATAGGTAATCTCCTTTCTTTCACTCTCTTTATTCTCTTTGTCTCTTTTGCTCTCTCTCTCAACTCAATCTCAACCTCTGAAACCTTCCCAAATAGGGTTTCAATAGCTTGTTGGCTCGAACATTGAGTTCTCTCCCTGCCCTCTCTCTCGTGCGTGCACTCTCTCTGACGGCATCCAACAACGACATTGGAGTCAATAGGTAATCTCTCTCTCTCTTTCTCTCTCTCTCTCTATATATATATATTCTACTGTCGATAACCGGTTGAGTTTCTCTCAGCTTTCCATCGGACAGCACCAACCGGCGATGTCAACGCTAGCAGTTGATTCTGTCTCTTCACCGCAGCATTGGACCAACATCTCAAAGGATACCAGGTAGGTTCTACCTCATCTTGTCTTTGTTTCCAAGCAGATCCAACCCATGGAATTATGGCTATTGTCATAGCCCATGCCTGAATGGGATTAATATAAAGTTTAGGGTTTATTCATTCATATTTGAGTTTTATATTTTCATTTTATCATTTTCTAGAAAAAGGTTTGGATATGATATTCTCTTAGTCATTTTAGGAGTCTTATAGGATTATTCCGATTGACTTGATTACATTTTAATTGCCAATTATATAAAATTAAAATGAAAAACCTTATAGTTCCAGTATTGGCTGCAATTTCCCTGAATCTCCATGAGGTCATGTAAAATTCTGGTATTTGTTATAGATATTAGAATCCTTCTCCAGAGCTGAAGTTTTATACAAATTGCAAACTATTATAGCAGTTGTGCCATCTTACTGTTTGAATTAGGCCCATGCCAAATGGTTCCACTGCAAACTTTTAGAAATCACTGAAATGCCTGAATACCATGAATTATATGGTTGGAGTTCATTCTGAGTTTTGCTACAGAGTTCAGACACTCCTTTAGACAAGACCATATCGTAATTACACTAATTGGTCCCTTTTATGTAAGTTTATGGGCCCAAACCATTCTCTCTCTCTCTCTCTGATGCCCACATGGCCACATGGCACTTGACTTGCCTAGGAGGATCCTAACAAGTATTTAGGTGGTGGGTGACAATGAACAGTTGCTTTGAACAAGTCTCATCCAGTGAACATGCGGGCATGAAAATCGACCCGCCTAGGAGGACCCTAGCAAGTAGCAACTGCGTTGAGATCTAGGCAGTCGGTGGCTATTAGGAAATTTGCTTTATTCTTAAGCTTCCTTAATAAAAAAACATATTGATGATGAGTTTGTTTACCGGGGGATTGTTCTTGGTTGAGAGAGCACCAAGGTTCAAAATAGTACAACACATGTATCAGTTCATGTAATATAATCAGGAACATTTTTTATGTTTAAACAAAAATATTAGGTTTACATTATGGTGGTTACATGGGCATTATTTTTTTTTTCTTCTAATCCCAAACTGTACTCCAGAAAATTACAAGGGAGGCTGGAAGAAAGTAACGCATTTACGAAATCCCATGAAAGTAGGCATTGGGACAAGAGAAGGTCGAGTAAGCTGCAAATGGAGAACTTTAAAGGGTTGCAACAGGAAAATCTTATTCCTCCTATTTTTATATGGCAATTTATATTCTAATAGACATTTTCCAAAAGAACCGGATTGTATCAATTGTGGACATCCATTTATGTTAGTTCAGGGTATTAACATTTTTGCTTTTTTGAGTATGAGTGGCTCCATGTTCTCTGCTTGTGTTCCATGGAAGTGAGAACCCATTAGAGACTGGATCCTAAAGCTTGATCATGGCAGTTATTGTTTTCACCTGTTATTGGTTAAGCAGATATTGTTGGATTTTTTAGAATTAAAAGGTGAAGTTGGTTCTCCTAAATCTGGCACTGGCATTCTCATAAGGTGGGGGTTGTTGTTCTATCAGATTGTCTAAGAGATTATTGACCAGGTTTGCTTGATAGCTGGACCTAACATAAAATTGTGCTTGGCTTGAGCTCTTTTTGTTCACATGCATGATGTCTAGTACATGGGTATTACAACAAACTGCTTTTTTCTCTTTTTGAAAATCTGAGCCCTTGGAAGCTAGCAAGACCTCTGTTGTTGATGTGTCATGGGATTTCTCATTATCTTTCTCTCTAGATTTATAAGATCTCTTCCTCATAGATGAAAAGGGGGGTCTAGATTATAAAATTTTCATTTTCTTTTTGTTATTTATGGACAATGATATGGTTTTTACTCAATGACATGGTGGCTGATAATCTCAATGATAGATGTATTAAAGTGGTGTTATGTATTTTATGAACTTTGTACTTTGTATGGCATATAGTTTATAATTATATTAATATAATCCAAATAATTATATTATTTGGATTAGTTAATGAGGGTAAAAGCTCTCTCTCTCTCTCTCTCTATCTCTGTCTCTTACGGAGGAAATGTCATGAGGAGGTGGGTATGTTTGGGATCCTAATAACATGCCAAAATCCTGATCTCACATGAAAAGATGGTCCAACATGTCTTGTGTTAATTGATACACAATCTACAAGATGGGTGGGCAAGAAGAAACCCTCCCCCCTAGTCCATACCCTCTTTCATAGGTAAAGCATACAGACAGAGACATTGAAGCCAAACTATACATATGATTGGTCCCATCTTGGGTCCCACATGGTCCTCCATTGTAAAAGACCTTATAGGATGATCCTGACCATTAAAATATGACCCACCTTTCAATTCCATGAGATATATCACCTTGATTAAGGCATCAGAATGTGGGGTTGTACTAAAAGCTAGGGATATGATATAGGACTTGTTCCGATCCATTTTCTGACTTGAGTCAAATCATTTATTTATTTATTTATTTCGTTAGTTTTATAAGCAGATGTAGAAAATTCAAAAATTAATTAAGGATTTAAATTAAAGGTCTATATAGTAACTGATCTAGACACTTGAAACACAGAGGGATCCCTCAATTCCACTGCATCTTGATTATCATATTCTCTCACAATCGAATCAAGTCTATTCCCATTTGTAATTGTAGATTTGTTCTCCACTATTTTCCACTGCCTCTAACAGAGAGAGAGAGAGAATGCAAATCTAAGTGGTAGTTTCGTCTTAAGATTTAAAGAGTTTAATAGTTTTTAATTTCATCAATCTTTGTACTGCTGTCTACATGCCTATATTCCAAGCACTAAATGCATGCTTCTATGCTAGATATATAGATATACAATGCACGAGCTGTGAGCAAGATAGATATACAATGCCCTACCTGCCATGGGTAGTGCTTTAATGGAGGCAATTCATGATGAGGCAGTGAGCAGAGAAGAAATTTTTGTTACTTCTAAGCTATGGGGATCTGATCACCATGACCCCATTTCCGGACTCAAGCAAACTCTCAAGTAAGGAACAATATATATGTCTTTTTTTTTCAGTGTTCACATGCATTAAGTCAATTATACTAGTCCTTAATTTGACCCAATACATAATTAATTGCACCAATCCAAATATATACCAGCTAGCTCTTGCACAGAGAGAAGTGAAGAGGGAGGAAGGTTGTGTGGTCCTTCAATTTTTTGTGTTTTGTTAGGGATGGAATGTGTGGACCTGTACCTGATACACTGATCAGCCAAACTAAAGGTGTGGGCAGATTATGCTGTACCTAATGAAGATGACTTTGAAGAGTTGGACATGGAGTCTACTTGGGTAGGGATGGAGAGGTGTTTGGATATGGGGCTTTGCAGGTTCATTGGGGTAAGCAATTTCTCTTGCCTGAAGATCCAACGACTAATGGAACACGCTTCTTCATTCCTGCAGTGAATCGGGTGCCTACTACATTTTATATATTACTAGATTGGGATTGGACCTATTTATCATGCATGAATCATGATTGTTGGAACATGAAGTCAGAAACAATTTAATTATCAGATGTGTTGATAATGATTTAGACCCAACATCCATTTTACCAAAAACCATGGTGGTTCTGCCTGAATCTCCACCCACTCCGGTGGGACCCAGTAGATAGAAGATCCCTGAAAAGTGGTATTTTGGTTAAAATTTGATGTGTAATGTGACACCAGTAGTTAGGAAATAGAAAGATAGTTCTATTTAGGTTCTTTCTTTTCTTTTGGTGCTGTAAGCAGGCAACAGAAAGTTGGTTAGCTTCTCTAAATGATAGATTTGAGAATTCTTTAGTCAAAATGGAAAGAAATCCATATGGCTACAGGGAATGCTCAAATGTCTAACAATCAAACCAAACGATAAAGGGGTGGGGTTATTATAATTGTAGACGAATCCTGAGGCGTGCTATTGGGGGTATGTCATCAACATTCCCTACAGAACTCATAGCTGGGGTTTTGAAGGAAATTCATTCACTTAGGCTAGCTTGCATCTTCTTGCTAAGATGATATATAATGGGATAGTTACCTATTCGGGTAATAGGATATTTTAGAAAAATTGAACTTTGAAAATCCTGTAGTTAAGAATATAGGAAAATAGATGCAGTTCAATTGCTGGAATGAACAGAATTGAATGGCATTTCAGGAGGACAAGAGGATTTTCACCATGAAGTTAAGGTATCAGTATCCCATGAATAAAAGCATCAACTTGGAAGAAGCTTCAGTTAAATTACAATTGTGGAAAGTATCATATTGAGTACTAAAAAAATTTTATCAGTTTTGAGTCCTTACTGATAATAAGAGTTGTGGTGGTTGGCCATACTTACAAGATAGCTTTGATTGTAAAAGGTTCCAATTTTTTGTTTTTCACAAATTTGCATGTTCACATTTTCTTTTCATGTGTGCATGCACAACAGGGACATCTACACACCTACAGGTTCTATGACGTGTGGACCTTCGTCCTACAGGATGCAACTTTCAAGAATGAGGAATGCCAGGAGAATGCTGGTAGGGTGAAAATAGTGGCATGTGACTCAAAGTTGCTCTCACAATAAGACTATCCCTTCTAAAGGAAATTTGAGACCCATTCAGAGAAGTGATTTGGGGGTAGCCCAACTTGCAGAGACCCTTGCAGGAAATTTGAGATTATATAAGAAGAAGCCGTGTTCCCTTGAGAAGAACAATTATCATTTATGAGATCCAGTAATTGTACTAAAAGAAAAAATTCTCTTGTGTTTCACTTTTACTTGTGTATGGAATTGTTGTGGACCCTTTTGGAGAAATTAGTGGAAAATAATATACTTTGTATTTAATTTTAATTTGGATGAACAGAGAAAATAATATATTTTGTATTTAATTTTAATTTGGATGAATAGATGAATCAAATTGCATGTTTGTTTAATAATTGAAATTTGCAATAAATAACAATCAAATTGCAGGTTATTTATAACAAATTTCAGACTATTTTGGTAGCTGTAAAAAAAATTATAAGCCTTTAGTGGCACTCGGAGTACCCCTTTTAAGGTAAAACTGACGTTTGCAAATTCACCATTAGCGGCAGTAAAAAAACTGCCACTAATGTATCAATTTGTAGCGGCAGTTTTTTGCACTTTTACCGGCAGCCGCCAAAACTGCCGCTAAAACTTTTAGCGATAATAGTTTTAGCGGCAGTTTGGCGACTGCCAGTAAAGTTTTAGTGGCAGTTTTTGGGACTTTTAGTGAGAGATGAAGGAGATTGAAGGGCTTGACTCAGATTATTTGTCTTTATGTGTGACTCTTGCTCTTAGAAGTTAAATCCTAAAAAAGAAAATAATCTAGAAGAATAGATTAACTAAAGACAACAAATTAAAGGAAAACAAAGGAGACTATAATTTACGAGAGTAGATGGTCAGATGAGGGGGCCTATAATTTCTTTGGTTGAAGGTTAGATTTTGTGCACTCGTTTTTTTTTTCTTCAGATTTTTACTTATTTATTTTGAAATTAAATCTATATTATATATAAAAGTGTAAATGCAATGTTGATTTTTTGGACTAAAATTACCCTCTATTTCTTTGTTTGAGAAAGGGTATAAAAGTTATTTTATTATAACTTTAATGCTAGTTTTAATGGCTACTAAAATGCTTATATTTGTGTATTTAATCCATCTATAATTTTAAGGGTTGAAAATGTCACTTCAATTATTAATTTCCAATTCATTTAATCCCCTCTCATTAAGTCTTATACTTAAAGTATTAAATCCCATTTTTTCTTATTAAATCTTATATTTAAGTTATTTTTCACTAATAAATGCGACTAATTAGATCTATGTCAATATTTCTAACAATACAAACCCATATATTTTAAAACTGACTCAAACAAAAAAATTTTTTATTGAAGTGCTATCTAAGCAATTCAACCATCTAAATCAAGTTGATCAACCTATGAAGTCAAAGTTAGGTAATAAAATTTTTAAAATAGAAACAAATATAGAAAATTACAAAAAAAATTAAAAAGTAGAAACATTTAAGATATTTTTATTAATCAAATTAAAAAATAGGTGTAATAGACAATAACTATTTTTATTTATAATAAAAATAAAATACATGATTTAGAACTAACAAAAAAATGAAATATAAAAATTAATATTGAATAGTTCAACTTTTGGGTTAAATGTTTTAACCTTTAATGTCATAAATAAATAATAAAAATTAATAAAATATAAAACACAAAAATAAAAAAATACATAAAATTTGCAAAAACAAAATGAAGGCACATGTATAATATCATATATTTATCATATTAAATAAAAGGTAAGTGTGATATATCAAAATTATTTTTACACACAAGAAATTGTAGAAAAAATTGAACACATCTATAATTATATATTTACACTATTAAAAATATGAACAAAATTGCAAAACTCTCTTTTAATTAAAATAATCATTTTTGTATTTAGTCTCTATTTAATTGTAAGGTTTAAATAGTAAATTGAACTTCTAATTTTCACTTCATTCAATTATTTTTTGATAAAATTTTCACCGCATTCAATTCACTCTATTTAAATCTTACATTTTTTTTTGATAAATGAACAAAAAAAAAAAGATGCACAAAAAAGATAAAACACTACAAAAAGAATAGTCTAGCCAGTCCGATTATCACATATTTGGATGAGGTGTTTATACAGTTAGATTTAAATTTTGCAATTTGCATCCAATTAATAATAAAAAAACAAAAATATAAAAATGAAAAATAAATAATACATAAAATTTATAAAAAAATTGGATATATTATTATTATCATTATCATCATCTGGAATTGCCACATGCAAAGCACGTGCACATTTACTAGTATTAAGAAATGTGCATATAACACGAATGGCCAAATGCACCATGTACCGAATTTTTTACATGTCTAACATGTAATAATATGAATGGAAATGCACCCAAGGTTTAAAATATTGATATAGGCCGATACACCCTACCACCGTTTGGCCCATATCGAAGCTTGTTCTCTCCCTTTTTTTTTCTTTGAAACTTGTTCAGAGGGGTCGGTTTAAGACTAATCTACCCCCTGAACCAGGTCAGTCCCCGATACGATCCCTGTAACGTAAGGACATATCATTAAGCCACCGATACAATTTGAACCTTGAATGCACCCTGACCAACCCATATTTGCTACGACACTGCCGTAGCCATATACTTAAACAACTAAATTAAAGCCTTTAATTTATTGCCATGGCTACAGCTAGAATTAGATGAATTGACTTGTTGGTGGGGCAACTGCTAAGGCCATGCCATGGCTACAGCTAGAATTAGATGAATTGACTTCTTGGTGGGACAACTGCTAAGGCCATAATTTTTTAGTTTTAGCTCTGCGCTAGGACAGCGTCGTAGTAAAAGTTAGTGAACTCCACCCCAGCGTTCATTAAAGATCAGTGTAGGAGATCCCGTCTGAAAGGGAACATAGATTTTTTTACTCACTTTCTCTACCCTCACCCTACCCACAGCGTCTCTGCGTGGCTGCAATTCAAAGCGGGTAGAGTACGGTACATTGAATTTCCATGCAAGTACTCAGACGGAACATTCCGTGTCTTCACATTCCACAATTGTGAGCCTTGATGGGATTGTCATAGTTGGAACGATCGAGAGAATTTGAGAACGTCGCGTATTGAAGTTGTCCATTTAAGCTGAAATGGTTTGATCTACTACTTTAATATCCCGGCCGCCTGATATTTTTAGTAGGAGATGTTATTGTGGTCAGCATAAGATCTTGGACCTCTTGGTCATCGTCAAGTAAGATACTGGTGATGATAAGAAAGGTTCTTTATAAAGACAACTGTGTGGAAGTTTTATGTATTCTATAAGAAGTCAAAGGCGAAGCCGGATGGAAATTTCTCAAGACTTAACGTGCAAGAAAGAAATGTGGGTTTGACCATTCTGCAGGTCCACCGTCCACCATCCACCGGGGCGAGTAATTGTCAAAACAGGAATATCAATTAACTTGCATTTAAATATTTAATGGGACTAAACAAAACGCTGCATACCCCAAGTAACAGAGGAAAGATGGCAAGGTTCGTCGTGGCTATCGGTGACAGTGCAGCGAATGGTGGAGACGTGGTTCAGGCCTCCGGAGGCTTGTTCTTGCTATGTGTGGTTGTGGTTTCCCTTTCGGTGATTTCTATGGTGATATTCGCTTGTGGTGATAAAGAGCCTAGACGCGGCCGCCGCCGTAAACATGGTGGTGGTGGTGGTGGAGACGGATGCTGTTGTGGCGGAGATGGTGGTGGAGACGGAGGTGGAGACGGAGGTGGAGGTGGAGGTGGAGGCTGTGGCGGAGGCGGAGGCGGTTAACCATGGTGCATTATGCTCATTGCAAGTGTAAGATGGCCTTCTGTACTCATCGCAAGGGCGTGGGCCTTACATTATTTTAATAAGGTGTCGTTGTGTCATTATAGAGGTGTTCCCGTTGGGATTTCTCTGTTTTTCTTTTAATATTCTACCATAGTCCTGGTGATAGTGAACCACATATACTTACAACTGGATAGTCAAATTTTTTATTTTATATTCATCTATTTTTTTTATTTTTAAATATCAAAAATTGAATTTGGAGACTAAAGCCTCAAACCTTACCGTTAAAACTAATATGCACATGTGAGATGGGAAGGCATTTGGAGTGGGATGTAGTTGAATTTCATTGGAAGTGTACCACGTCCCACAACAAATATTGTGCAAGAAATTTAGGTTCTCTCAAAATCCCAAAAATGAACGCCCCCTAAACCAATGTTCCTTGTTAAATTGGTCTTACATGGAAATTACTTGTATATAATTTGCATTATGGAAGTTTATCAAACGACAACGTTGAATCATTGTAGTAGTTTAAGACCGTTTGATTGAAACCTTTAAAACCCACATTTATGGGTTTATATAAAGCCTTGTTTATGTCTTTGAAATCAAATGTATTCCATCAATCCCCTTGTTCAAATAAGTTCCAATCAAATGCTTATCCATCCATAAGAAGGATTTCATCATAAGCTCCTTCGGTTAATAATGTTGAAACAAGATGAGGAAAGTAAACTTCTAAAGACATAACAAATAAGATGTTAAATAGTTATGCCCTTATCTCCAATTAGATTGATGTACTTATTGACATTTATTGTAAATGAATAAAGTGCAAAATTGATTCATTTTATTATGGTGTGTTTTCTGTGTAATACCCTTAAATTGGACACATATGAGACTTGTATTATTTTAGAATCTCCACAGCCGATGGATAAACCTGAGGATGTATATCCTGCCAAGACTAACACTAAAGTGCTGCCAAGAAGGTTGGGGTGGCTTGTCTCAGCTGCCAGGGTAAGACTCAAAGCACATGTAGTGTGGGTTTGATTGAAACTCTGAACCGGACCAAATTCCAGTATTTCTCTAGACCTTTGTGATAGATGGGCAAAACTGGAATGTTACACCTGACCCCTAGACTCGATTATGGTACTACACTAGGTGTTAGATTGGGCCGTCTTTGATATGCCAATCAATGAGATCCTTAGCAGGGGTAAAAACTTGGGTATGTTGGGGCAGTCTGAGAATTCACCTGAGTGGGTGATCATAGTGACAGGATCAACCCCTTTGTCGGATAAAGTGAATGATCGGGGAATGCACTCTCTCTGATG